TCACAGCACGTTTAAATAGATTTTATGTCGTGATGGCTGCACGAAAATTCGTGAGATCGGGTTGGTTATTATTACTATTAGTATTATTAGGGCTTATGCCTACTGTATGTAAGAACAATATTAAACATGACCTAACAGGAGTGCTTTGGCTAAATTTGAGATTATTGCCAAATAAATATATTATTGCCAAGTAAATATACAGATATATAGTAACTAGGCTGGTGTTGTTGTTATCATTATTATCGTTATTATTATTATGTGTATTATTATCACATTTTCTTTTGAAGAAGTCATCTGATTTATCTTTTAAATGTGCATGTTTTGTTTCCAAATGCCGACGTAATTTCGATGGTGTCATAGCCTCGTTACTTAGCATAGCTTGGCAGATGACACAAATTGGTTTCGTGGGGGAACTTTCGCCAGAAATAAATACGAATTTAATGTATGAAATGTCGTAATTTTGAGTAAATGGGCAATGATTTTTTTTGCCTCTGGCTCATCCTGTAAGTCGGCATCATTTGATGGACGCTTCCGAAAGAAAGAATCCAGATTCACTTGCTTTGAACACGCCATGATTTATTGACAGCTCTCGTAACACGTGTATATCTGTGAAAAGTTTGGAGTGAATGAGACAAAGGGCGGGAACGCTGAACATTTTAGAATGCTGAAACAAGGGGCGGGATGTGAAGGCGGGGGGCAGGAAGGGGCACGCAGTGACAGCAGCGCTGAGATCAGACCTGACCTAACTGAATTTTGATTGGTGCAGAAGCGAGGCCCTCGCAGGAACCCTCTCATGGACCGGCACCAGTCCGCGGCCCATAGTTTGAGAAACGCTGCTCTAACACATATAAAATGAATATGATAAAAACTTTACCTGTGTCGCTTTTTACATCTTTTCAAAATAATATAACTGCCCTTACCTAAATGTAATAGCGATTAAAGTGATCAGTTTTTTTTTTTTGCTATTTATGTGAAAGTGAGGCTTTTATGTTATTACTGGTGTGGGTTTAGGATTAATTTCACAAGATTAGTCAATCAAAACCAATACTAAATCAATGAGCACTAAAACATGACATAAACAAGACTGTATTATGAGTTTTATGGCTTTTTTGGGGTGACAGCAAGTGTGCTGACTTGAGGATTACTGACCGTCCCATTGTTTTCTTGATGCCAATGCGATGGCCCATTAACAAAAAAAAATAAGGTGTGATACGCCGAAGTATGTCACTGCAGGCAGTTAAAGGAGGTTGAAAAATGCTGGTGGTTCTTTTAATAAAGCAAGGTCCATAAAGACATGGTTGAGTGAGTTTGGTATGGAAAAACTTGACTTGCTTGCACCGAGTTCTGACCTCAACCCCATCAAACACTTTTGGGATGATCTAGGACGGAGATAGTCAGTCAGGCCTTTACGTCCAACATCAGTGCCTGACCTCACAAATGCCCTCTTGGATGAATGGGCAAAATTCCTACAGACACACTCCAAAATCTTGTGGAAAACCTTCCCAGAAGAGCAGCAGCTGTTATAGCTGCAAAGGGTGACCAACTCCATATTGATGCCTATGGATTTAGAATGAGATGTCATAAAAATTCCTGTATGTGTAATGTCCACGTGTCCCTGTGCTTTTGTCCATATTGTGTGTGTGTGTGTGTGTGTGTGTATGTGCATTGATTAGGTTTATATCACATTGTGGGGACCGCATTCAAAAATAGAAATTTGTCCCGTGCCATACTCTACTGCCATAGGTCCCGCTGGAATGTAGACCTCTACTTTGGTTGATTCCTGCTTTTGCCGTAGATGATCTGCTCACAGGCTTTCACTTCTTGCCCGAGCAGATCTATTTCCATCTGCAAGGAAGTGTTTTTTCTACTACCTGGCAAATCCACCATTATAATAGCTATCCGCCAAGGTATGAGTGTACCTGACTCTTAGAGGGAATGACACTGATTGGTTTATAGCATGTTACACCACAGACACACCTATGACTAATGACAAAATTAAGTACATCCCTTTATCACCATGCACCTGGCGCTAAACTAGCAAAAGTGGGTTGGCCATGCCCTAAAAGAACTTGCATCATGTGCTTCAGACCATGCACTTAGTTAAAATGCATCCCATTGCCTCCACATTGAATCAGGAAACAGAATCTTCATATGCACTGTTGAAATAAAAGCTCGAAATTTAAAGTGTCGATTATCATATCATATAAACCAGCAAAAGTCACAGATTCTTTAAATGCTATAAATGCTATAAGGAATAAAGATCAGCCTGTATAGAGAGTAAAGAGATAAGCTCAGCACTTAAAGTTTTAGGCTGAAATTTAAGGAGATCATAATTTCGTCTTTCATCTGTCACAGTTACTATGATCCCTTTAATGTTCTTAAAATGTCTTTCATATTGACATAGAGGTCAGAAGTGTATATGAATTTAAAAGGATTTGAAGCTTTATGACTGAATGACATAATTTTTTTAATGTAAATAAAACACAAAATTATGTACTTTTCCTTAACCATTGTTCATATTGTCTTACAGAATGTCTGAAAGGCATTTCAACTCGAAGGAAGCCATCAAATTCCTGGTCAATCTCTTCATTCAAGCTGCAGAGTGTGACAAAGAGACAGGAGAGAGGAAACTGCAGCTCCTCTCATCAGTCTGCAGTTATTCCTCTTTCCCTTTTGTTGGTAACACAAACAGTGATGATGATTCAAAAAAACAGAGTGACTTTCTGCTGGATATGTACTCACTTTTGCAGGATTCTGAGTATCAATCATTTAAGCATGTTCTGCTGGCATTGCAGCCAGTTTATCAATCAGCTCCTGCAGTTTGGGTTATAGACCTCTCTAACAGGAAGGCGTCCATCCTCATTGAAGTCCTGGAATTCCAGAGAGTGAAGAAACCAGTAAAGCTTGTTAGCTGGTCAGATGAAGAGAATGAGCTAAAAAGTTTTCTCCAGTGTTTGCCCTACGTTTCTCAGCTGGGGTAAGTTTCTTCCTTTTGAAGGTAGAAGTTATATCAGCTGTTTGCAATTGCGTGGAATTATGTTTATATTACATTGTGGGAACCAAATGTACCCCACAATGTGATAAAAACTTGTTTTTCGATGTTGTGGGAACCATTTTTCGGGTCCCCACAAAGATCTGTGAATGCATTTAAAAAACTAATAATGCCAAAAGTCTCGTATTTTGTTTGGTTACTTATGGTTAAGGTTAGGGGTGGGTAGGAGTTAAGGTCGTCATGTTGGGGTTAGAGTTTTCCTCATAGAGTTGGAGAGTCCCCACATAGATATAATTACAAACATGTGTGTGTGTGTGCGTGCATGTGTGTGTATGAATGTTTTTATAATTGTTACATTATGGGGACCAGATTTCCCCATGATGTGATAAGAACCTTTTTAACATGTGGGACACTTTTTTTGTCCCCACAAGGATTATCTCAATCTTATAAAAATCAGTATGTCAGACTTTTAATGAGTCCATGGTCATTTTTGTATACCCTTCCACCAGAAAATATTTAGATAAAACTTATTTTATTGTTTCAAACAAAACCATGAATGAAACTGATTATGTAAATTAAACAGATTTTTCAACAAAATCAAGATTACTTCAAAATGATCAATCAAAGCGACAGTGGTCATTTTATTTTGTGATTTACATCATTCCTATGATGAAAAATGGCCAGAACACTCAGGTCCCTAATTCAAGTATAACATTTAGTTACAACATTAATGATTTCAGTAGCCAAAATAGATAGAAAACCATGTCAGAATTTACAGTTACAAAAGTTTGGGCAAGTTAATGCATGACAAATTATTGTAATAGCCTATTGAGAAAGAGAGAGAGAGAATCGACTCAGAGATAAAACTGGATGACTTCTTAGCTAGTGTATGTGGGTTGGGGTCAGTGCCTCAAGGTCATTTGGGTCATCCAGAAGACTGTGCAAGGAAGGCTTCATCATTCAGTACCTGCTGTTTCATTATTGAACAGACTACCTTTTTCACCTTTTACACCAAACGTGCCAAAAAAACACCTCCATGATTATCTCCATATGGTGAAGTAAAAGCCCATTTTATTCTATCATGGGTAAGGGTACTTTGTATTTGCTGATATTAGGATGAATTCTTTGGGAATGAAGCATCTATTTAAATTTAAAGTATACCACGAGTTCAACTCATCTAACCATCTCTGCCATGTTTTGCCTATCTTCAATGGGACTCTTTCATCCCAACCTAGCTTTGTATTGCACAGCTCTTGCAGGATTTGCTTTGCATAAAGAATCACCAGTACCAGGAAATACAGGCAATCATAAAGAGAACTCACTATAGACAGAATGCCATGATTGTCCAGTGAGGTTTGGTGACAATACTAAAGGTGAATGCATCCTGTTCCACATCCTGCTGAACTTCCAAGGCCCTTTCCATGGGAAGTTGTTCTCTGCTGAGGTCCAGTGTCTTTAGACCTATTCTCCTCAGTAATGACAGACTAGATAGAACAGTAATTACTTATCCATTTATTGAGTTTGAACCCTCACACTCTATGGCACATACCTCGGTGTGCTGTTGGTAAATAGATATAGCTTCCTTCACTATGTCGACAGATTTGAGGCAGTAAATAATGGAAGTTTTGTTTGAGTGTGTTTGTGGCATCCTTTGGGTAATTCTTTTGATTATCCTCTGCAGTCTTCAACAGAGAAAGTGTGCAAAGTTACACACAATTTTGTTTTTCATGGATGATAGTCTCCATGGTGTGGTACATACCACACTTTTCAATTTTCTGGTTCCAGCTGGGCCAGAGGTATGACTTCTCATATTGTTTTACAAGAATGACATTCATAAAATCAGTGTATTCTCAAAAGAATAAGTCCTCTTTTAAATTCTTTCAGAAGATGTTGTGCTCTTTGCTGGACTATGTGCTTGTTAGTAGGCATACTCACATTAAGCTTGTGAAATTGCAACTTCAAATGGTAATGTCCATTTTTGAGCTGTGCTGAAGATGAGACCATAAACTGTTAGTCTTTCACAGACATTTCTCTCTTTTCATTGTACTGCTGCTTCACAAAATCCTGATTATACAGTCTAATTAACAGTTCTTCCAAACTAGCTATGGAAACATAATTGACCTGCACTGATGGAAGGTTACATCCATCACCATGACTGAGTAGGCTAATAATGACCCATCCAGGGAGTGTTTTCACTGTGTACTACCCACACTGTTTATTACTCTCCAGTGTTCCAATGCTTTTGGAGCATTTACACCAATGGGCAGCACTGCACTAGCATCTATTGGTGTCAAATCAACATCCCTGTGGTAAGGCCATTTTCTGATGTCTTCTTCTTTGGGAATGTTGTCTTTGGTGACTGGGATCATTTTTTGCAAATATACATAAAGCTCCTTCAGGTAAGAACTTCCGTTTAATGCAGAGATTTTGTAGCTGGTTTCAGGTTTCTCCTGACCCAAGGTTTTAAGAAGTATGTCCACTTTCTTTCCAGTTGCCTTCAACTGCCTCATCAGTGCTTCCAAACAAAAGGTTGCAGAGCTACCTGATTTAAGGAAAGTGAATGTCTCCATGACTTTGGTTCTCTTTTCCAGTTTCACCTTCACTGGCACTATACAGTAGTTAGGGCACAATCCTTCAACCCAGCATCATATGGCTACCAGTACCCAAGGACGCTAAAGCACTGGACATTGATTCTGGTTTGGTACTGAGGGATTTTCTTAGATTTTTTTTTGTTTCATTATGCAGGATACTTAGCTGACTCTGATGATAAGTGT